TGTGGAGAGTGGTCTCAGCATGGCAGTGGCTGGTTCTAGAGGTCTTCGGCTGACAGGGCTCTGCTCGGGGTGGGGATAAAAACCCAGCTCCTGGAAGAGAGTCTCCTGCCCCCACGCCTGGCTGTCCTTGCTGGGGCCCCTTGGAGAGGGGCAGGTTGAGTTACCCTCACACCCACCAACTGCCCCCCCCAGCACCATGTAATCCCATCAACGGTCAAGACCCAGATACTATAAAACCCAGCTCCCAGAAGTGCACAGCTGCATTTGTGGCCACACGGCATCTTATTATCTCATTCTTGCTTTGGACAACCTAGCAGGCTACTGAATGTAACCTGCCCACATGGCAGAGTCCGGCAAACTCCCCGTGGCATACCCAATATGCCAAATACCAGTAACAGTGATGGGTCTCTTTCTCCTAACCCTGAAAGAGCCTTGAATGTGGCACTTTTTAGAATCTCAGCGCTAGGACAAAGGAGACATTACAGGTGCCTGCTCAAGGCAGTTGACGAACAAAAGGATGATCGTGATATACAAGATAAAATCATGAATGTATCAACATTTTTCAAAAGTGTTATGCCTCTAACATTCAACAAAGAGGAAAAAAATAGACATGTAGGCTTGGAACAATAGCCAGTGAAAATATATAAATACCTCCTTTTGATTCCTCAGACCTATTCCTTCACTACCAAGACATGCTTTTTAAATCATTTTCTTGCAGGCTACACATCAGCAAGAACTGTGTTCCCTTATCACAAAGTCAGCAGGGAGTATTTGGAGGCAGGAGAGAAAAGAGTCAATAGTCTATTAAAATATTGACAGCCATGTCTAGGGGAAATTCGGGGATGTCAGAAATGTCAATTGAACTTTTAGTCACATCTCTTACAGCTTCTGTTATCCCAGGAAGAGTCTGCCTCCAGAGTACATCCTACTGTGAGGATGTTAGGAGACTATACACTAGTGATGCATCTGACTTTCCTTTGAACAGTTCAGAGCACTTTTGTGTGTTTAGCCAAACTATGTCAGGAGTGGAAAACTAAGGTCCTTTCAAGTATAGTTGCCAAAAGTGAAAGCCATCTTGCTGAGTGTTAAGAGAACCCTTCCTGGGATAAACCTGGGAACAGTAATGGCTGCTTGACTCCTGCAGGTTGTTCTAGGGCTGGCTTTCGAGGAAACCGGGGAGAAAATAATGAAAGGAGGGAGAGGAAGTGCCTTTCTCTGAGATGTGAGGTTGGGCTCTTTCCTTGGCTTCACATTTCCTCCCCCTGCTCCAGTGTACTCTTCTGGTTTCACCAGCATGAAACTCTATCTACATTCTTTCTTCTCTTGAGCTAAGGATTCGAATTGGGGTATCAGGACAGGGGGGCCTTCATCAGAAAGAAGCATGAGTGAGGCAGAGGGCCCGAACCCAGCTGTGCCATATAGACTCCTGACAAGGCTTCTCCCAGAATGCATACGGACAACTTTCGGTCCAGATGATGTTGTTTGTTCCTAAGTCAGTGCGCTTCTGTCACTTGTGCATATTGCCGTGCGTTTCTTTCCAACTCCTTTTGCCAGGCGCAGAAGTTAGTATTCATGTTCCTTGTGTAGTGTCTTTCCACCTTATGTTCCTACTCAGCTGCAGTGTTTCTCCACAGAGATGTCTTTGTCACTTCATGGTGACAGTCATTTGTGGTATATAGGAACTTCCTTATCTTTGAAAGAGCAAGTGTTGGTGCTAGTGGTGATCTTCCTCATGAATGTGTTAAGGTTCGTGATCTAAGAAACAAAGGCAGCACGAATGTAAAAGTTCAGCAGAGCTTTATTTCACATCAGAGTCCAGATACTGATCGATCAATCCACCAGGGCCATCTCCCCAGAGGGCAAGCATGCCCCTACATCTCTGAGCCCTCAACTGTCAACCTATCTGTTCCCTGATTGGTGGGCCTCGGGTGGTTAGGGACCTGCCGGCAGAGGCAGCTCAGGATTGGCTGCCTTTTCTTGGGTTAGTTATTTCAGTTATTTCTTTCTTTCCCCCCACTGGTCCCCCAATGGCTGAGGCTGACTGTCATTCCAGCTAGGTGGACCCTAACAGATGTAACATGCAAAAGAAACCCAGATTCAATCCTAGATACCCTTGATGCTGTAGGAGTACCCAGTAAAGAGCCACAGGTGGAGACTCAGCCTGCCTTTTCCCTTCCTTCTGGTCCAATTTACCAAACCTCTTCTTCTAGGTCCATATCCCATCTTATTTTTCCCCCTAAGTTTGCGTCAAATGAGTAATATGCCAAATGAGTAACAATATTTAAGGGAGTTACATATCAACGTAATCCCATCAACGGCCAAGACCCAGAGACTATAAAACCTAGCTCCCGAAGCACACGGCCACATTTGCGGCCGTGCAACATCTTACTATCTCATTCTTAGTTTGGACAACCTGGCAGGCTACCGAATGTAACCTGCCCACACGGCAGAGTCTGGCAAACTCCCCATGGCGTACCCAATATGCCAAATACCAGTAACAATGATGGGTCTCATTCTCCTAATCCTGAAAGAGCCTTGAATATGGCACTTTTTTAAATCTCAGGGCTAGGATGAAGGAGATGTTACTGGTGCCTGCTCGAGGCAATTGATGAACAACAGGATGATCATGATTGTGATTGTGACATAGCACACAAATGTGTCAACACCTAATCATCATGCTTATGAATAGGAAAAGTATCCAGTGAACCAGAAAAGAACCCTCTTCTTGTTTTTAACGTTTTGCTCCACCTTAGTTTGGGTTTAGAAGGATTCCCCTTTCACTTTTACTTGGCAGATATTTACTGAGTACCTGCTAATGGTCCCAAACACACTTTGAAAATCTACACATCCTCCAGCTCTGAGACCCCACTCCTAGAATCCCCTCCCTACCTGAACCTTTTCGTTTCCATTTCACTTTGTAATGAAGGTCAGTCATTCCTGATACCTCTATTCTGCCTCCCTCCCCAGGACCTGACCTTGCCAGGACATTGGGTAATCCTCGGCCTCCACTTTCTCTCTCTGCGTGGTAGGAAGTCAGTAACTGCTGGACGAGCTGACTGACAGATCCGGGGCCATAGCTAGCTCCGAGCATGTATTTCATTTCTGTAGCAGGCACACTGGCTCTGATGTATTTTTGCTTCCAAAGAGTCTATTTTATATGCAGCTAAAGGTCAGGAGGAATAATGTGGGAAACATTTGGTGTATGCGTAACATATGTAGCAGACGATGTGGAAATGGGCTTATTTCCTAGTGGATACTGAGTAAACCAGGGTCTCAGAAGCCTCGCTTTGGTCTCTTCCCAGTTACGACTTCTGAGCCTGAGAACAAAACGTTATCTCTCCCTTATATAGTCTCAAGTGCTCAGTGATGAAAGGCAAATGAGCCAAAATTAGAATAGCCAGACAAAAGAAAAACTCAAGAGAGCAAACATTTTTTTTAGAAAAGAGATGAAAGGACAGACGGATTCTGGCCAGGACCACCTGTCAGCTGTGTGGCCAGTGCAGGGCCCCAGGCGGCTGAGTTTCTCAGGGCCTCGTGCTTCCTCGTACTCCCAGAAATGGACACTCTGGGCTCCTTGCAGGTCACATCACTCCATTCCGAGCGTGGGTGAGCATACACACCTGCCAGCCTGAGGTACAGGGAGAGGGTCCAGCCTCCCGGGACCTCGAGCTGGAAGAAGCAAGTTGGAAATGAATGGGAGGACAGATGGAGGAATGCATATGATTGTTTACTCTTAGAAATGCTAGGAGTATTTAGAAGTTTTCAAATTTACAAATTTAGAAGTTTGGTGGTGGCTGTGTGAGCAGAACACGCTGTCACGACTTACGTCTTAAATCTATCAGTCTGTGTAAAACTCATTACATGCCATTTCACTTAAAATCAAAGTTTCCAAGCGGCTGTTTTTGGCAGGAGAAAGAGAGCACATGCCCACCCTGCATGAGTCGGGCACAGCCAGGCTCCCTAGCACTGCCCAGCATGTCTCAGCTGACCAGGAGCACTGTTGATGCAATTCCTATTGAAATCAATGAAAACCAAGCACCTGTTGATGAGATTGAGTGAGAACTTAATGTACGTCCATAGCCTGGGGAATCTAATGTGGGTCAGATGCCATTTTCTTTCCTGCCCCGCTGCCACATTTTTATTATTGGGAAATGCAAACACCTACCAAAAATGTTCAGGATAATATAAAAGTCCCACAGTTTGCTTGTCCTGGCATCAACAGATATCAAAGCAAGGTCATCTTGGCTTTTGGACATATCCAGCAGGATTAGGGGGACTGCTGTGAGGTCAGTGCTCGGGGACTGTTCCTAGCAGTGCTCAGAAGACCATGCAGTGCCAGGGATTGAACCTGGGGCTGCAGCATGCAAAACGAGGCTGTGAGCCATCTCCCCATCAAAACAAAACCAAGACACAAAACACTTCAGGTCAGAGAGATAGTGCGGGGATTAAGGCACTTCCTCGCATGAGACCAATCCCAGTTCAATCCCCAGCACCACCTGATTCCTGATACAGAGCCGGGAGTGATCCCTGAGTGCTGCAGAAAAAAATCTCAACACCAGATCATCCCTTTGCCAAAAAACTGATCAACAGTTTGGTGTCATCTCTTTGGTGGTGTTTAAATTTCCAGTTGTGACTTTTTTTTTAATAAAGCTGAAACCTGCGTCCAGGATTTCACCTTCGTTGTGAAATAAGCTACCAGGAAAAACAAATAAAAGTACCTTTTACAAGAAAGGGGAATACAGCCAAAGGTAATGATGGGGAGCAAACGTGAAATAGTGCCAGTCTTCCTCGAAGTGTATTGAAACCTGTCTGTGCTCGCTGTCCCAACACATCCCCTTGAGAGAAGTGTCCTGCGGGGTTCACTCTGGCCTCTGGTGTCATAGCAGTTTGACATCTGACCACACAACACAGATGTGTAGCACCAGACTTTGGTAAGTGTTGATTGAGCGCTTAATTTGAAAGTCAGAATATTAAATAAACATCTCTGCCCTTCCTTCCAGCAGGCGGCCCAGAGAACTGCACTCCAGGCTCTGTCCGACAGGTACACTTTGTCATTTTTATGAACTATAAATTGCTTTATGTTACATTGAGCCCTAGTTATTGTGGCATATAATTCAGAAATGAATTTTGTCCCTAAAGTGTCTGTGAGCTGGGATGTTAAACATTTTGCATGCTTGGATTTGTCATGCATGTGTGAAGTTTATTACTGAAAAAAAAATCACCTTGTTGTATTTCATAAGTATGAAGAATCTCTTGTTCTGCAGCAAAACAGGAGACAAGAAATGGAGGAAAGGCCTGAACAGAGCCATAAATTCTGAACTTTGAAATTGGTTGGGATTTAAGATCATTTCTCAGCAATAAGTACTTTATCAATTTGAAGCTGTTTCTTCAGACCTTTCCTGGATTATGTCACCAGGAGCCGTCTGTCTTTTGATGATGCTCTCTCTTGAAATAGTTTACACACATAATTCGATTCATGGTCTTTGTGTCTGCTTGTCTGCTTTTTGCCTTGGCTCCCTTTTTTGACTTATATTATTGAATGAGGGATAAGTAAACCCAATCAGTAAATATGTTCACAGGCAATCTGTGAACATATTTACTATAGAAAAGACTACACAACTAGTTGAACAGGAATAAAATACAATATCACTTTATTTTTTTCACTTACTAGCATTGTGTGTGAAAAAAAACACCCAGGATTCAAAACTTATACAATTCTTACAGGGTTAGAAACAGCTGGAATGGTGTTTCCTCATCTGGTGGCAGTTTCCTCTGCACTGTCTACCCAGCCTCCCTCCCTGCCTGCCTTCCCAATTCCTTTTCCTTTTCTTTGTTCTTTAATGAGCAATAATTGTGTAAGCCAGCTTAGTTTGGTCCTTCTCCAAGGTCAAAACTGTCACCTCCAAGAATTCTATGTGCACATGGGTGAAAATGATTTTTTCTCTGGTGAGCAGCTGCGCCTGAATATTTTTATTTTGACTGAAAATCCTTTCCCAGGACAACCACATAAGTCTATGCCATGTGATCTTCTGGAATTGCTTCTGGAATTTTCACAAAAACTGATGACTCTACGTCCTCTAAATCTGCTAGTTAGAGAAGGCAAAACTTAGTTCAAAACACACTTAGAATCTGAAACATTAACTCCTTTCTATACATATTTCTTTTTTTCCTTTGACTTTTCAAATAAACAATTTCTTCCTGAAAGTGTGTTGAGAGTGAAGGAAAGCCAATGATTTATAATGCTGGCAGTGTCATTATACAGTGGAAGTATGCCCTGGCAATGCCATGGCCAAGGGTTACAAGGTTTCTTTGAAGGGTGATAAAAATGTTGTAAAATTACAGTAATGTACCGATTTCACACTATTAAATATAATAAAAATATTAACTCATATAGTATTAAATAGATAACTTTATGGGTTATAATTTCTGTTTCAACAAAGCTGCATCTATAGACACATATGTCATCATGACCTTTCATGGGATGGACGGAAGCCTATTTTTGAAAATATGAGCTACCTCAGAAGATTTGGTTGCAAATACAAAGATAGTCTTTCCAAAAGATTAGTCTGTCCTAAATAGAAAATGTTCATTGATTTTAATGATGAGCAAACTCTTTCCTCTGACCTATTTTTGTTAGTTCTCTCTAAAACACTTCTTCAAGCCCAACATAGTTGATTAGGAAGTTTTCATCTTAAGCCCTATTGATTACATAACTGCTAAGTGCGGAATACTTAGTGGGGAGAAACTCATTCCCTAGAAACAAAACAGATGCTCCCTTGCCCCCACCCTTAGGAATTTCTCTATCTTCAAGTGTAATCAAATACCTCCCCTCAAAAAATTTAAGTCTTTCTGTTCAAAATTGGGGTAACTTTGCTCATTCCAAAGTAGTCTGTTGGTATTATTCTAGCCTTGCAGCTTTGTATAGCTATCTTCTGTGATTTTTCTATCCTATTTTGCGCTAATTCACAACCACATTAAGTAATTTCCATACATGAGGTTCATCTGTGAGCATTGGGGGATATTGTTTAAAACATTTCTTCAAAGTGAAGACTGAAACACTTGTGATTAATTGGACTCACATTTTCTAGTTTCTTAGATTGAAGGATGTCAGCTTATCAGTTGATGTCCTTTTCTGTCATGTAACTTATTATGTTGAGTGAGCCAATATTTTCTAGAACGTGATGATGGTGATGGTGGTTCAGATCTCTGCATGGCTTCCTAATATTCTCTGTCAGAACCACCTCAGGGTGAAGGTGTAATTGAGCAAAACATCCCCCAGTTTGTGACTTTCCCAAGGTGCAAATTTAACTCCAGTAGCTTTAACTATGCCTACCCTAATATTAATTTATTTCAGAGTCATTAATATAAGCTCTTCTGGATTTAGAAACTGTTTTTTGCCATGTTATTATGCCTTGATATAAAATCCATAAAGATTAGGCAGCATTTTCCTTTCGTGTCCTAGAAAATAAACAAAGCCCTTTTCAGACCTCAAGAGATTCTATAATCTGGAATGGGACGGAAGTGCTCACAGGCGCTCAGGCCAGAACCCGGTGAGGCCACATTCTGGCTTCAAGTGAAGAGAGGGTGTGGAGGGCAGGGGATGACCGTCTGCTCATCCATGGCGCCTTCTAACTTCTCTTTGCCTGGACGTTTGAAAGCCTGATGAGCATACAGACATTTGAAACAGGCACAACATTACTTGGTTTCAGAATGTACAGCTGATGAGGAAATTAGGGTTTGGTTTGCCTGTGAATGATTGGGGTGTGAGCAGACTCAGTCCGGAACTGGCTGTTATTCTGTTTTCCCATAAATTGGCCTGCATTTGAGACTGGCCCTGTGAGGCATCAGAGGGGACAGGCAGCCTCCTCTCCTTCCTCCGGGCACGTCACCTTATGCTCCCTTGGTTTCCGAGGTGGGGAATCACTCTTTGTCGTCTGAGGCCACTCTTGTCCATATTGCCATTTCTCTAGTTTTCTGTTTATTCCAAGGAGGCATTCTAGTAAACATTCAGTGGTCAACACTAATACTTATGCTTTAAAGTTACTGAGTCTTTAGCAAAGACTGATCAAAACTATGCTATTTGTATTAATTGCCTAAGTTTGCTTTACTTGTTTGGTGGGCCACACCATGCAGTGCTCAGGGGTCACTTCTGGTGTTTGTGGGACCATTATGTGATGCTGGGAATTCCGACCAGGGTCGGGCAGAGCAAATGCCCTCCCTCTCTTTCTGTTTCTCTAGCCCTATGCCTAAGCTATGGCCAGTCCCAGAGCATATTAACAAGGCTGGTTAACAAGCATATTAACCAGCCTTGTTGGGTTTTGCCTGTGCAGTAGGTTTCATCGGCACAGCCTAAGTGGCTACAGTATCCCGCAGGTGCCAGCAGGAGCCCGGGGACTTGGCAGACTGGACATCAGTGCTCACACCTGAACCCCCACAGTCACAGAAAGGTGAGCTGTGGGGTGAGGCGGGGAGGAGCATTCTTTCCTTACTTGACAATTTTTTCATCGGTTTTACACCACAGAGAATCATCTGGCCTCCCAGAGGCCCATTGATGCCCCAAATAATGAAAAAGGCAGGAAACCAGGGCAGGGAAAGGTGGCGAAATTCTTAACAAGGTTATTGAGCCCATAACGAGAAAAATCTGGTTTGCAGAGGGACACAGACCTTTATTCTGTCCCGCTGCTATACCTCGCAGGAGCTTGTCTTCCTGTGGAACTTGTTTTTCATGGGGGTAGAGAGAGGCAGGGAGAAGAGGGAGAGACGGACAGGACATTGGTTTATGAGGGTCTGGTGTAGCCACTTTGCTCCTGGAAGCTGCCGCATCACCAGTAATGTGGAAAATATGCAAAGTGCCATCAGGAAGGAGGAAGGAAATGTGCACGGCATACGAAGTGCCTCTGAAGACGATTAACTTCCCTTCAGAAGTAGTAAATAGTAGATAACTGTGATCAAAAAGAGGATTTGCGTGATTTATCAAGCTGAGTAACTGTGCATTTGCAGAGAAGCTGGAGGTCAATCTTGAAATCTAGGGCAAGAGGAGCACTCGGAAATTGCCAGGACTCTGAAGTTAATCATAGCCTTGGACCGCTTCCATCTGTCTCAGAGCGACAGGGCTGCCGCCGAGCGAGCAGGGATGCTTTATAGGAGCAGATCAGGAATTAATATTTTCTGTGAAACCTCAAGCATCATTTGCAGTAACTTGGGTTTTATAAAAATGGAGCATAATTTCATATGAATAAATCATATTCAGCTGGAAATATGAGAAGCCAGGAAAAAATTGTGCTTGACTTTAAAAAAGGAAAAAAGGCTTGAGCAAGAAAACTAACATGCAGAGAGCTGCTGAAGTGATGGCGCTTGCAGGGCGGGAGCAGCCTGTGGTTCGAGCATGGCTAAATCGTGCATATAATCGTCTTCTGAAATGTCAGCTCTGACTCCAGAAACGGCCACATTTTTATAGCCTTGGAGATGCATCACCAGACTATAACCTGTCTGCCCATCTGGCAATATCTCAGGTCCAACATCCTTTAGATTGAGATCCAAACAACTGCCATTGATTTATGCATTTGCGCCACAGTATTTACTGAGCGCCTGGCGCAGACCCCGCTGGGCTCCAGGTGTGGACTGGAAGTGCCCTGGAGAGCAGAATGGCTCGAGCTTTCCCCGATGGGGGCGAGAGGCGAGCTTATGGAAGGCCCATGTATTTTATGTGTTCAGTTTTCCCCTCTCTCAAAAACATCTCACTCATCAAACTTCTTTTCTTTTAGAGGGAATGTAATGAAATTAAGGAAATGAATGAGTGACCGAAATGAAGGGATTTTGTTTCCTGATGCCCATCTGCATCTGGGAGCGAGATTGGGAAGGACCCAGAGCAGACAGGGAGCAGACAGGCACTGACCACATGGACAGCTGGTCACTTCAGTCTCTAACCCGTGACCCACTGTCTGGAACCCCTTGTTGGCAGAACCAAGGGAGCATGTCGTCGGGGCTGACTTCCAGCAGAGAAGTGTAGCTTTCTGAGCAGCAGTTTAGATTCTGTCCTGA